TACATTTTTGGTTCAGTGTATCTGGGTATGCTATTAAAATATTATTAATGAAAAATTAATATATAATTTTAATCAGTTATGATGTAGCTAACACCTTTTCCTTATATATTTGACGGAAATATACTAAAGAAATATTGGAAACTATATTTATAACAAGTTATTGGAAATTTAGAACTAATAAGTTCTGTACGCTATTTTTTTCAGTTACTCGGGAAATAGTTTTCTTCCTGTTGCTTTCAGATTGCCCTATACGAAGGAATTAGCATCTTCTTTACAACAATGCGATTTCAATCGAAAAGAAACTAGTAATCAGCAAGTATTTCTCTTTTTGTGCCAAGGAATGAATGGCAATCTGGGACTATACAGTGTCAATTTAACATGCTATAGTGTCAAATTTAATTATCGTTTTAGTAAAAAATAACGATATGATTGAGTAGGAGCAGTGGCGACTCACATTAAGTTAAATTTGACACTACAGATTTAACAGTGTTGGTTTAATCATATAAAATTTCTTTATGTAAACAAGTTATATTGGTTTAAAGCTATACAATCTTATTTCAAGACTTTAAAAATAAAGATATTTTGAAAATAAAGATATTATAAAATAAAAATATTCTTTCTTTCTATGTATAAATCAAACTTTTTATAAATGATTAGCGTTAGCTAAGATACACTACTAAAAGATCCTTTTTTATCTTTTTGAGTTTAAGTTTTTGATTTTCTACTTACGGAAGGATTCCCATCTCTTCCGACTTCATATGGTTTTGCTTCGACAAACTGTTAAGAACGACACAATAATCTAAATTATTTTTATTTAAAAAAATTGAAACTATTAAGTTGTATCAATTTGCGGTGTGTACTTACTGTTCTTTCAAAAACGCCTCCGATAGCGGTCAAAATTAATAACGTATACAACGTCCGCATTGTCACTATCAATCGCAACACGATTTATATTTAGTGCGCGAAAATATTAATTCTCTGCAAAGTGGTATTCTTCTACTTCGAGTATAAAACCAACTCATGAGTAAATTTCTGAAAAATATTTGGCGTTTAAGAAACTGGAAACTTCCTTTTAAAGGAACGCCGTCGTATCTTATCATTTGAAAATTAGAGGAGGGAGACACAGTTGTTTTTGAAAATTCTTAAAAGCAGTCATTTTCGTTATCGAGAGTTAGTATTGCGCATATGTATTTATATCCAGATAACATCTATGTTGCGTAAGATATCTAAAAAACGTCTTTTAGATGTCTTATGTTTAAAAGATGTTTAAAAGACGCCTTTTAGATACCTTATGCAACATAAATGTTATCTGGGTATAAATATACATATACAGCAGCATTCGAAAAGTATTTTTAAGTGACATTTCTATTAATATATCTGCGTATGTTAATCTGATGCAAACATTAATGGCGTTGTTGTGACAGGAAAGAGTAGAATTTGATTTGTGCTACTGAAATCGTATATTGAAAGATTAGTTCTTTATTTCTCAACAAATATCTGTAGTAAGGTGAATCATATGTATTTTGTATTGTCAATAATTAGTATAAATAGCAAGTATACAAGTGTGTAATTAAAATGTTTATGTACGTAGGCGTTTGTTTACCTAAGTTCAACAATACCAAAACGCATAGTTCCAGTAGAATTGAAAGAGTGTGTTTTAAACGCTGTACATATTAAGGAAACTCAGTTTGCAGTTGCAAAGCGTTTTAATCTGTCTCAGCAACTTGTGTCTGGTGTAAAAAAGAGAGGTTAACTGAAAATGTAAACAACAAGTCACGCAATGTTTGATCACACAAGACAACAGAAAGAATGGACAAAATTATTCGAATAAAATCTAGTGCTGATCCGCATAAATTAGCTAAGGAAATAAGGAATGATTTAGAAACAAAATTTATTTATAAGCTACTTAATTAAATATAAAATGTAATAAGGCTCTACGATAATAAATAAATTAGTTAAAAGTAAAAAGGGCAAAGAGCCAACGTATAGAAAATTACCAACACATATATATATTAAAAATAATAATACAAAATACATACAAATTTAGCAAACGTTTCGAATCCGATCGGATCATTTTCAATGATAACATAAAAAAATATATATAATGTACAGAATCAAATTTCATGTAATATCGCCACTTGAAGAAATCTGGGTAGTATCTTTGTAAGTCTGATCCCTCGGAAATAAATGTGTATAAAAGAAACCGCGAATGCTAAAGTCAATAACCATAAATTCTTTGATCAAAAGTTACAATTTATAATATACAACTAACAATTAATACATGTAAAATTACTTAAAACTGTAATTATGAAGAATTGTAACACTTAAGTGAGCACTACTAAAAATTCAATGTAATTAACTAATAATTAACAGAAAAATTCAAGATATATTACTCACAAGATCAAAGAACAAAAATACCACAGTCATCAATATGTCATCGTTGAAATAGTCAAAATTATAAACTCAATAAATACAGCTTCGGACAAAGGATGAAAGTCCAGTATTATATACCGAGGTACGTAATACAATAATAAATTGTGTATAAAAATATTCATAATGTTAAATAAACGGTTCTTTTAAACCAAATTGAGAAGATAATGAAATGTATCCAAGTTCAGTAATAATAAACAAAAACCGGTTCTACAATTCGTAAAAATTCCACGATAAACACATTAATTACATTAAATGACTGTATAAGTAATAAACTGTCCGTTTATTCAGACCGTAACATTACCTGTGAGTAATTATAAACTGCAAATTCATTATTTCAAGTAACATCTTCAATTAAATTCAACTTTTTCAATTTTTGAGCGAGTTACAATGCTAGTACACAGGACGAATATAAGAATATTATAACAGCCGAAGCGTTCACAATAAATTTCTATTTCAACATCACTATTTCAATCACTATTTCAACGATGACATATTGATGACTGTGGTATTTTTGTTCTTTAATCTTGTGAGTAATATATCTTGAATTTTTCTGTTAATTATTAGTTAATTACATTGAATTTTTAGTAGTGCTCACTTAAGTGTTACAATTCTTCATAATTACAGTTTTAAGTAATTTTACATGTATTAATTGTTAGTTGTATATTATAAATTGTAATTTTTGATCAAAGAATTTATTGTTATTGACTTTAGCATTCGCGGTTTCTTTTATACACATTTATTTCCGAGGGATCAGACTTACAAAGATACTACCCAGATTTCTTCAAGTGGCGATATTACATAAAATCTGATTCTGTACATTATATATATTTTTTATGTTATCATTGAAAATGATCCGATCGGATTCGAAACGTTTGCTAAATTTGTATGTATTTTGTATTATTATTTTTAATATATATATGTGTTGGTAATTTTCTATACGTTGGCTCTTTGCCCTTTTTACTTTTTACTTAATTAAAGCTGTTTAAATTGTAAAACGTCACTTGGCAGTTGTGGGTTTAAATGGGAAGACTCCATTTAAGAAGCGAATGATTAGCGCAAAAAATCGAAAGACTATATTTGCATTTGCAAAGAAATATTTGGCATGGACAAAAGATGATTAGACTAAAGTCTTACAGAGTGATGAGAGCAAATTCAATCTCTTTTCCTCTGATAGTATCCCAATATATTCGCTGTCCTAAAAATAAAAGAAATAATGTTCGGTATCAACAGAGAGAAACCTGAGAGAGGATATTAAGGGTCTCCTTGTTGTAGCCGTAAAATGCATCCATGCATTACTGCCCTCTGAAGAAGTGGATGTAAACTACACAACAATATCCATTCTTCGCAGTGTTTCTGATGGAAATAAATCGTTGAAATCGTTGAAAGGATCTCGCGCTAATCCTATATGAAATTGTGTCTTGGTGAAATCAAATAGTTTTCTCATATGTTATAGCCTATGACCTGCTAAACAAAATGTATAAGTTTTAGCGCAAAAAAATGAACAGTTTTCGTGTTTGATTCACTTTAAAGTTGCTGGCATTTCATCATAAAATGCTCAATAATTTTTAAACGGCTGATCTAAAATGGGTAAAATTATAGTGTCTTGAGAAGCTCTCGACAAGGATTATAAGAAAATGAAAGAAAAAGGGGGGTTCTCACTTAAAAAATCCATGTGGACGTTGTCATGACCTTGGCGACACTACCCAAAGTCAAACTGATGACACCAGTGGCTAGATCTTTTTGAACTCTACACACAACTTTTTTCTAATACATTTTTTTATAAAACTTATAGTTTTCGAGATATTTTGCCGTCTCCGAACATTTTATGTTATAATCATCTTTCTCTGGGGATGGACTTGTGGAACCATTTTTTGATGTTTTTCGCTCTCTGATGTTCTAATTTTACTTCTGAAGAAGGCTCAATTCAAGAGTTGAAACTTCTTAAGTGTTGTTAAAATATGTATTCTGTAATTTAAGCGGTTTTTGTTTTAATTTGTATCATTATATACGACAATTCGTTAGTATTGACATTATATTAATTTTTTGATTTTTTTTAAAAAGTAATTTCGACTCTTATTCTGTCCCTTTATTTATTTTGTAATAAATTTTAGTTATTTCTTCTCTCAGGTTTCTCTCTGGTATCAAGTACCCACAGTAAAGCATGGTGAGGGAAGCGTAATAGTCTGGGAATGCTTTTTCCAGAAATGAGACAGATTCCCCAATTCTGAGAGACAAATAATGGACTGATTTACTTGTTGAGACATCTTGAAGGAACGTACGCTGTTTCATGGTAAAAAAAAATGCCTAAAGGATGAATGTTTCAACAAAATAACAATTCGAAGCTTTCTTCTCAACTTGTGAAGAATTTTTTGAAATAAAACAAAATTAAAGTTTTGGAGTGGCGCGCGTAGCCAAAGTCCGATTTTAATTTCATAAAATATCTTTGGGCATAGGATAATTTCAGGGAAAAAATATTTTATATATAATTGTATAAAATTATATATAATTATATATATAATTATGTACAATTCTATATATAATAATTATTCGGTGTTAAACTTAATTCCTATCGTTTTTTCGTCTCGAAAATCGATTTGTTTCGAAGGGAAGATGAATGAATA